TTGTTGTCCAACCTTTTTCTTCAGCAATGATACATGGAACACTAGATCGATACGGGAGTGGAGTGGCTAGGTAAATCAAGTTTATAGGCAGCTTGCCCTATTTTCTGTATTACTTGGAATGGTCCATGGTACTAGGGAAGCCAATTTAGTATCCCTTTTCTAAGCAATGTATGGGCTAGATCGATGGATCATCCCTGCAGCATCCAGCAACTCTGTCAATTGCTTTTGCAATTCAACCAAATCCAACAAACACAACCTTAAAATGCTACTCAACATCTTATAGGAAGTTTTCCAACTCTTTGGCCCTTCAAGTTCCACTGAAGGCCTTAGGTTTCAGGACTTTCACTTTGTGAGAGACATCACCGCCATTGAAATTCCCACCAACGACTTTCTTTACAAGAGACAATTTGTCTGAATTATGCAATTTAAGGCATCTGACATGGCAATCATATCTCCCATCACTTCTGTGAATCGGTTTGTTGTCTAAGTCTATATGGGCAAAAACCCATTAGCCACATCATCCAACTGATCTATCAAAGAGTGACTTATCAGGGGGAATCCCTCTCAAATTTTCCACTCGAGTTACTCATTCCTGAACGGCTTCTAGCGCAACACTACCACCAACCATTGCAGAGCACAACCTAACTCTAATGCCAACTATCACAGGGTTAATTTTTGAACTGATTTTTCTATCTTTGATGGCACTATGTTTGATACATAATTTCAGTCAATTTTGTATGCGCACTTACTCATAGTAAAATTTCAAAGTTAGGCAAATAACACAACAATTTACTGATGAATCCTGACTTTATATATTATACACCAAGTAGTTACAAGGAATCCAAGGCAATCTATTACAACACTTGATAATGTAGAATTCTTTGGCACTCCCTATATGTAGGTTACAAATTACAATCAGTTATTGGATGTTGTAATTGTCCATGTGCAGATTGCCACATGTTCCTGTAGTTGACCCAACTGCCTAAGTTTAGTTGACCCAACTACCTAAGTTGAGCTGGACCAATGTAAGGCTACCAGCATGTAATTGTTTCATTCTATCACTCAAGCCATGCAAAACCCAAAATATATAGACTAATACAATTTTAGAATTTTAAGCTTTGTTTTAAAATTTTTAGATGATGTAAAAATTGTTATGGTATAAAATTGGGATACTAGCTGACTTCCATGAAAACTTATATTCATTTATACTCATTCATGTAATTGGAGTGCTAGGGAATTTAAACTGTTTTCTTCTCTTAGCTTTTGGTTTGAATGCTTGTTGCTGGATATTATAATTTTCGCATTTGTTTTGTCATTTTGTCTATCTGAGGGTGTATTAGTATGCAACAATTTATTTGACACTGTTTTTGTGAAATTTGCTCATTATGTGGGGTTTTGTGTTGTTTTGGGATAATGTGAGTTTTTATGTTGATCTATTATGCATATTGTAGGTGTCTCTCTTTGTCCATTTGAATGTAAAGATTGGATCTGTAAGAGTTGAGTTTTAATAACTGGGGCCTAACATTCACTTTGCCAACATGCAGGAATGTTGATCTCTCCACTTTGTATCCAAACCTCGCAAGAAAAACTTGTTTTTGCAAAGTTTATACAAATATGATAAATGGTAACAACAGCGGGAAGCATGCTTTTCATAGTGACATTGAAGATAAGGATATTGTTGAAGCTCTAGAAAATGAGTTTTAATATTGGACAGACTTTTCAAAAGTTCACTATCATCCGTAGAGTCTATACAAATATAATCAGTGTGTTTGGTTTGAGTTTTTTTAATTAAGTTTTTTAAAAATTGAGTTTTTTGATTTTCGTATTTTTTTGTTTTTAGTGCATATTTTTAGAATTTTAAACATTTTTTTTATTTTTTTAGATGCACCTTACTTAGATGTATCTAAAAAGTAAAAAATTTGTGAAAAAATATTTTTAAAAATTAATAAATACATAAAAATACAAAAAAATGTACTGAATTCTCATTATTTTTTTTTGTATTTTTGGTATTTAGTGAATTTTTAAAAGGTTTTTTTCAATTTTTTTTTACTTTTTAGGTATATTTATGTTAGGTATGTCTAAAAATTTTATTAAAAAAATGCTTAAAATATTTAAAAAATTCAGTAAAAATAAAAAAATACGAAAAATAAGAAAGTAGAATTTTCTGAAAAGTGTTTTTGAAAAGTAGTAACCAAGTTCATATGATTGTTTGGAATTATTATTTTAGATTGGAACATACTTAGTTTGTATAGAATTTGACATTAAGGGGTTGTTTGGAATGTTCTAAATAAGTGTATTTTTTGACTTTTTATAAAAAGATGTGTAGAAAAGTAGAGAGGAGATGTTGATTGATGTGACTCAAAAAAGATAAAAAAATAAAAAGTATGAACTTATTTAGGGGTTGTTTGGGGTGTCTTAAATAAGTGCACTTTTTGTCTTTTTGGACTAAAAAATTGAGGAGAAAAATATGGATGTTTGGATTAACTTTTTGACTTTTTATGGAAAAATGTATATTAAAAAATTGTAAAAATTAGCTTGTAAGGGAAAATTATGATTGGGAATTGTGCAGTCGTAATTGTTGACTTTTGATGAATAATGTTAATTTTTTAACTTTTTGAGTAACTTTTTGGCTTTTTAGCTTTTTCTCAATATCCCAAACTTGGCCTAACAAGGTCTAAGTTATTCATTTTTGGATGGTTGGAAGTGAAATGGATGCAAATTGTGAAATGATTGATAATGTATGTATTGTTTTGTTTATATACATGGTATTAGTTGCACGAAATATATACAGGTTAAGGATAAATTAAAAAAATAATAATATCATGTTTTTTGCCACTAAATAATTGGTAGCCAAAAAGGTAATAATATTTTTAGTGACTAAATAGTTAGTAGCTAACAAAAAAATAAAATGAATAAAAAAAAATTTGGCGACTAAAATTTTAGTAGCCAAATAAAAAAATAGACTTTATGTGACTAAATTTTTAGTAGCTAAAAAAAATAAGAAGAATAAAAAAAAAAAATTGGCTACTAAATAAATTGGTCGTGGAAAATAAATTTAGTTTTGGCGACTAAATATTTTAGTTGCTGAAAATGTGATATAATTTTCTTTTGAAAGTTTTCGTGACTAAAAGATTGGTCGCCAGTTTAGCCTATCAACGACTAAAGTTTTTTTTGTCGCCAATACCTTTACTTTTGGCGACTACTTGTTTAGTCGCCAATTTAGGACTTTCGGCAACTAAAATTTTTTTAGTCGCCAATACCTTCGCCAACCATCTTTCCTCGACCAAGGTAGCAACCAAACTATTTAGTCGGGAAAATTATTTGGCGACTAAAAATTTAGTCGCCAAAAGTGTAATTTCTTGTTACCATCATAGCTAAATGAAAATTGAAAAATTATTAGATATTTTTAAAATATCACATGTGTAAACATCATTATTAATTACAATTTGTTAATTGTCAAACATTAATTGTCGTACCTAGTAGGTTATTAAGGCCCTTTAGCTTATTTATAGTGCTACGCGCATCAATTAGTATACACATTAGTATACCAACTATTATTATAATATCATTAATGATCCTATTTATTATATAAATTAAAATATTTAAAACTTTTAAAATTATTCTACATCATCTATTAGTATACTAATATGTACACTAATTAGTGCATATAGTGTTATTTTTAACCTAAACAGGACAATTATTTAAAGAGAAATCTCAAGAGAGAATTACTCTCCAGTGGGAGCTATTTTGGAAAGAAAAAAAAAAAAAAAAATTAACTTTTGACTTATTTTAAAAAAAGTCAAAAAACGAGCTTATTTGTGCAAAAAATCATTTGACAAGTTGAAAATAAGTTAACTTTTAAAATTACAAAAATATCCTTTTGTATATGAATGAATTATGTCATTTTTTTAAAAAAAAAATTTCTAATCCGTCTCACAAAGACAAATCTTAAAAGTTAAAAAAAAAATAATAGCAAACAAAATAAATTTAAGAAAAAATTACTATTTTTTACTTATTTTTGTCTCTTTTGTACTTTTTTATGGAACTTTTAATTTTTATTTTTTTTTATAAATAATCCAGTTCGTCTTCTTGAGTAGAATCTCAAAACCTATTTTTAAAAATTCACTAAAAACAAAAATAAACCAATAAAAAAGTATAAATAAAAAAAAATTAAAAATCTAAACACCCACTCTGGACTCATTTAGAAATTGATTTTTTAATAAATTTTAACCTTAAAAAAAACATATAAAAAATATAAAAAAATAATTTAACAATTTGTAATTCAAGTTGTACTGAGATCTGCCTAGGCCTGAATTGTAACTCGAGGTTGTCTGTCCAAGCCCGACTCAAGTTAAATATGAATAGTCCAAATTGTTCGAATTCTAAATAAATTTTAGCTTTTTTTTTTTAGCTACATTATTAAATTATTAAGATTTGAGTCCATTTACATTTTTTTTATTATATAGAAAATCATTAATACCATCAAAACAAATAATTTATATAATGTAAGAGAGATGTCGCTATAATCTTTACAATTTGTAAGTAAAAATAAAAAATAAAATGTAAGATTTTATGTTATTTGTATATATAATATATATTCAATATAATTTAATAATCTAAATAACTTTAATATTATATAATGCCTAATAATTTATATATATATTTAATATTTTTATATATCTATATATGTATAATTCAAGTTTTAGGTTGTTCGGGTTGTTTGACTTCTTTACCCAAGCTCATCCAAATTTAATTCAAACTTATGAATTTTTGCCCAAACCCGTACCGAATTTAAAAATATCTTGTCAAAGTCTTAAAAAAATTTAGGCTAAATTTGAATTGCTCAGATTGAGCCCGTCCAAATTGCACCTAGCCAACAGCACCACCATTTTTCCCCTTATAAATAGCAGCACATGTTTGAGTTAGGGGAAGCACAAGAAAGAAGGAACAAGTAAAAGTGATTATTGAGAGAGAGAGAATGGCTGGCAGGTGGTGATAAAATGTTCTTCAAATCAGCCATCACCAATAAATACGTGCGGCGCATAGAAGAATATCAACCGCTGAATGGATATCTCTCATCCGACGGAGCGAATTGCAAGAACCAGATCGTGGAGTTCAGATTGGAGCAGGCATGTACTGGGAGTGGAATGTACCACATAAAATATGTTGGCTCCAACAAATACTTACAAGTGAAATCGGCTGAAAACGCCAACACTTCATGGATTACTGCTGATGCTGATGCAAGAAACAAAGACCAAGACCTTTTGGCATGTACTTTGTTCGACATCGATTGCTTCGGTACTGGTCCTACTACAATAATCCAACTTCGCCACCGCTATCTCAAACGCTATGCATGCCTTTACAAGGTTAACGACACATACCCCTACTGTTTATGCGCATTATCTGAAAACACAAGCAACGACTCCAAGGATGTCTTTGTCTATTCGGAATCCAAATAAACTAAATTAAGATTCTCTCCTTAAGCTCTCTTCATCCTTCCCTAGGGGTAACGGTTTAGATGCGCCCAAACAGATTCAACGGTAGATTAACTCGGAGTTGCAAGCCACATAAATAGGGGTGATTATTCAGTATTCTCGGAGTATGGACACGTGGTACTCCATAAGGTTTTGACTAGTAGAGAGGGGTAGGGGCCCACGATTTATCTTGAAAATAGGGGAACAACATGGGGCTAAGTAATTGGTGATTGACTTGAAGTATAATCACGTACTGTTTCGAAATTATTGAATAATTTCCCCATAAATAGTTTGCTAGTAAGGCTGCCACATAGACAAAATACCACATAGAGCTTGAAGCTCCCTAACTGACGTTAACGTTCAACTCAAACAAATTAAAAACCAAACCAAACCAAACCAAACCAAACCAAAACCAAGCCTTAAGTTCCATCAAATGGAGTTGGTTACATGAATCATTTTTTTCCACGCGACTTTATCAAAAGGTCATTCTGTTAGTCAAATTAAGTATATCCATATCTCTATTTACAACGCTAGCCAATGTTAATCTAGGTCTACCTAGTCCCTAACACTTCCATCTATCGTCATTGCATCGCATCTTTTCACTACTACCTCTATTGGTCTCCGTTGAATATGAACAAACCATCTCAATCGATTTTCTCTCAACTTATCTTCTATCGGGGCTACTCCTACCCATTCCCGAATACACTTATTCCTAATTCTGTCTTGTCTTGTCTAGTCTTGTCACACATCCACCTTAGCATCATCATCTCAGCCAAACTTATCTTTTCTACATGTTGTTTCTTGGTTGCCCAACACTCCGTCTCATACAACATCGCTGGTCTAATAGTCGTTCTATAGAACTTAGTAGGTATTCATTTATCGCACAGTACCCCAGACATACTTCTCCACTTACACCATCCCACCTTAATCCTATGGGCCACATCCATATCAATCTCCCCCGTCGTTGTGATAATTGATCATAAATAACGAAAATGTTCACTCTTAGGTAGTTCTTAGTTCTCAATCTTCACTTCTACTTTGCTTTCATTATTACTATTACTAAATTTACACTCTATGTACTCTGTCTTAGTTCTGCTTATCCAGAATCCTTTAGATTCAAGTGTTTTTCTCCAAATCTCTAACTTTGTGTTAACTTCTTCTCTAGTCTCATCCACTAGCACAATATCGTCTACAAAAAGCATACACCACGGCACGTCATCCTAAATTTTTCTCGTCAACTCATCCATAACTAAAGCAAAAAGATAAGGACTCAAGGTATATCCTTGGTATAACCCAACAGTGATAAAAAAATTCATTTGTCTCTCCAGCAAGTGATCTGATAGTGGTCACCACCCCTTCATACATGTCCCTAATCACATCAATGTAACCTTTTGTCACCCATTTCTTCTCTAACACCTACCATATTATATCCCAAGGCACTCTATCATATGCTTTCTCAAGGTCGATAAACACCATATGAATGAATGTCTCGTTTATTTTCTCTATACTTTTCTATTACTCTCCTTAAAAGATAGATCGCTTTCATTGTTGACCTGCTAGGCATAAACCCAAATTAATTTCTGACACCTCTATTATATCCCGCAATCGGCGTTCCATCACCCTCTCGCACACTTTCATTATATGACACATTAGCTTGATTTCCCTATAGTTGTTGCAATTCTGGATATCTCTTTTATTCTTATAGATTGACACTAAAATACCATTCCTTCACCCATCTGGCATGTTCCTAGTCAACAAAATTTTGCTAAACAACCTAGTCAACCAAGCAACCCATTTTTATCCAAACACTTCCAAGGTTCAATAGGGATATCATCGGGTCCTAAAGTCTTATTTGATTTCATCTTCTTAAGTGCAATCTCTACTTCAAAGTTCTTAATCCTGCGATAGAACCTATAGTCTTGGTTTATCGTATTACTGGCTATTTCTTCCCCTATTGACATACCTCCATGTTCCTCATTTAATAGTTTCTCAAAATAGTTCTTTCATCTTTCTTTAATCTCTCCATCCTTCACCAATACCTTTGAATCCTCACTCTTGATGCACTTAATTTGATTAAAATCTCTTATTCTCATCTCCCATATCTTAGTAAGTTTGTATACCCTCTTCTCTCCCTCTTTACTATCTAGTCTTGTGTATAGGTCATTATAAGATTTCAACTTAACTTCTCTCATTACTCTCTTGACTTCCTTATTAGCCAATCTATAGCTCTTAAGGTTTTCCTCATTTCTATCATTCTGACACTTTTTAAAGCACTCTTTTTTTGCCTTAATTATCGCTTGAACTTTTTTCCTCTGCCACCAAGTTTCCCTAGAGCTGGGTCTCGTTCCTTTCGACTCTCCGAGCACTTCCCTTGAGATTCTCCTCATACAATTAGCCATCGAGTTCCACATAGTGTTAGCATCATCTTCCAAGTCCCAAGTATCTTCCTTATCCATTCTATTCTTAAATATTGCTAGTTTATCCTCTTTTAGGTCTCACCATCTCGTCCTACAACGCTTACCATCCTTCCTAGCTTGGTATTGCCCTTTAAAACATAAATCTAATACCAAAATCCTATGTTGATAGGTCAGGCTCTCTCCAGAAATCACCTTACAATCATTGCATTTTAGGCGGTCCACTTTTTTACTAAGAAATAATCTATTTGGCTCTTAACTAGCCCACTCTTAAAGGTTATCAAATGCTCATCCTTCTTCTTATACATAGTATTGGCCACCATCAAGTCAAAAGCCAATGCAAAATCTAAGATACTCTCTCCAGCCTCATTTCTGTTACAAAAATCGTATCAACCATGCACCCTTTCATAGCCTAGTTTATCTATGCTTACATGGCCATTAAAATCTCCACATATAACCAGGTTCTCTCCTAGGGGTATCTCTTGTAAGATCTTATCCATTTGCTCCCAAAATCCTTCGTAGGTTGATCATCTAATCCTACTTGAGGAGCGTATGCACTAATAATGTTCACTATATTCCCTCCAATAACTAGTTTAACTAATATAATCCTATCCCCTTTCTTAATGACCGCCACTACACTCTCCACAAACCCTTGGCAATTATAATTTCTACCACATTCCTACGTCTATCCTTACCACAATAATACAATTTAAAATCAGTATCCTCAATTTCCCTAACTTTCTCACCCGTCCACTTAGTTTATTGTACATAAGCTATACTAACTCTCCTCCTAATCATAACATCTACCAATTCCATCGACTTACCAATTAAGGTTCCTATATTCCAAGTGGCTATCCTGAACCTATAGTCTTAGACTAGCTTCTTTATTCGCACTCGTCTAGAAAACGCGGGAACCTTTGCTCATTTTTCACCGCACCCAGACGTCGATGTGACGTCTCTTGCTCACTTTTCAAAACACCTAGAGACAGACCCAACGCGTCACTTGAGGGAAACAACTCAAACAAATTAAAAGTATTTTTTTTATTATTTCGGTTTGCCGCTTCAGATGCTATTTTAAAATTTGAAAATTCTGATTTCAAACCAAACCATACATAAGGTCACATTTCTCTCTCTCTCTCTCTCTCTCTCTCTCTCTCTCTCTCTCTCCATTTCTTCACACTTGCATAACAAACAAAGCCACCACTGGCACCGTTGATCACCAGAACCATTCACCACTGTCATCGTCAGCTACCAGTGCAATCTCTACTACCGCCATCGCCACTGCCACGGTTCTATGTTCCAGTCCACATCCATCACCCACATAAACTTTGTGTTTATCCCTCTCGTTTTCCCTATCTTTCTCAAATCATTGAGCCCACCAACTGTTCACAGGAAAAATTGGAGATTCAAAATTAGCTTTGAATGATATCTCCATGAACGGAGGCTCTCGCCATTGAGTTTAGCCCTCTCTCCCATTGTTCGTTTATTCAAAGGTGTCAGCGCCAAGATTTCACCAAAAATGAAATAAATCTTAAAGTTGAAGGTAGCCACCGAAATAGAATATGTATTTTAGGTGTTTTTTCTTTTCTTTTTTTAAATTGGTTTGTGGATTTGTGATTGTTACTAATTTTTTAAAAAGTTTTGGGTTGAGTCCTTTGTGAACTTTAGATGTTTGATTAAAGTTCTCAAAGAAATGTTGCTAGTTTACCTGTTGCTCAAAGTGCTAAACAGTGCCATTAAAACGTGTGAATCCATTGCACTATATAAGGCTATTATGATGATAAATGTACATATGTTATTTGAGATTCTTTTGTTGCTAAAAATAGAGGAAAGTCTGAATCTTTATGTAATTGTATGAATGAGGAAAATCAAATCATTAACTTTTATATACAAACAGATGAGTAACAAAGTTTCGAGTTATGTGTGCAATGCGGTTTGGATTTTTAAGCAAGAAAGGAGGGATGTTTGGGCTTGTCGAACTCATCACAGGCTCTATTTCGATGATCTAATTGTTCATTTTGTTAGACACTTTGTGAATTTCATTCACAAAATGAACAACAATTATATTTTTAAAAAATAAACTATATATTTTTTTGATGAAAAAAAATAAATTAAACCATTTGTAATTATCGAATTGACCTAATTTTTTATGTAGATAAAATACATGAAGTGCCCAACAAGCAGAACTGTTCGAATAATTAAAATGAGACCCACGATGGATCCCATAATTGAAATTTTGTATTTTTTTATTACGAATTGCATTATATGTATTTGGAAATGAACAATTGTCCATATTTGAAAATGAATCAACTTGTTTGTTTCTAGTTTTTTTTAAAACACTTTTCAGAAAATTCTATTTTCTTGTTTTTCGTATTTTTTTTGTTTTTATTATTTTTTTTAATTTTTAGATACACCTAACATAAATATACTTAAAAAGTATAATTTTCGTAAAAAAAATCTTTAAAAAATTCACTAAATACCAAAACTACAACAAAAAAGAAAAAGAAAATTCAATATAATTTTTTTATTTTTGTGTATTTATTAATTTTTCAAAATATTTTTTCACAAATA